GTGTCAATGTGTGTCTGGTCTCTTGCAGTCCAGCAAGTGGTCTAGAAGCAACTTCAATCCCAGAGCGAAACTAAAAGCGAACACGGCCCCAGCCTTTCGTAAGTGTGGTCTCACCCAATCTTGCCAAGACATGTTTGCTGAGTCAAAACCCTCTGCTTTTCAAGCTGGTTTTTGCTTCTGGAAGGATTGCGGAAGCGACGCAAACAGAAGTTGTGAAAACCATTGGAAAACCTGTCTTTTGCCCGAAAAGATTCCTTTAAGAGACCCAAGAAGCTGAAAGCCTGAAAGCTGAGGCTGGTGCACGAGAAGGTGAAGGCAATGTTTGCCAACTTCACCATCAACGCCCACCCCATGGCGATCATGGCTTCTTGGCATTGGGAGCATGGGATCCCGGGACCAATCATGGATCGTGGTTTTCAAAATTTGAGGTTCCGTTAAACCAAGCCCAAAAAGGGTATCCTCGAAAAAGGCGTGCCCACATGTTGTTTGGTGCAGTGGCTGCTTGAGTTCATTTGTTGGAAGACTGAAACAAAATGGAATTCGGACATCCCCCCCTGCCCCCCTGCCCCCTTTGGCCGGATAGATCCCGTTGCGAAAATGCTTGAGAGCTTGACGACGCTGCACGTTGGGGGCAACCCTGATTCAAACCAAACATGTCTAAATTACTCTTTGTTTAGCAGCCTCCGTTCCCATTTAAAGATCACCAGGGGGCTGGTTGTTGAAACACATTTTGCCCAATGGCTCCTTCTGCAGAGCGCAAATGTCGGAAAATGACGATCCACCCTGCGAGGTGGCCGTCACGGGCGCTCTCAGCTGCATTTTCAGCCACTTGGACGCTCCGGCTCTCGGGTACGGCACGTCCCTTCGGGTGCACGGGTAATTACTTGGCACAACCTCCGGTCGCAAATATGGGCGCTGGGAACCTGCCTAAGGTGCTCCCTTCCAAAGGGGCTACCAAAAGGAGCCGCTGATTTTATGCCTCAAGACTGGCAGACGCCCATAGAAACGCGCATGCTTCACACGTGGATCAGTCTCACTTCCCCTTAAAGGGCCCTGGCCTCAGCCCTCGCCAGAGCTCGTGGTTAGCTGAGTCGTGCCGGTTAAATAAATTCGGTGTCGTGAAACAACTCTTGCTGGTCACTGGGTGACAACAATCCACAGGAAGCACTGGCTGGGCCGTGTTCAGCATAGGCAGCCAAACTGGATCAACATTCCTTGGCTTATCTTAGGCGGATGGTTGCTCGTTTTCGGAGTTGAACAATGTGGTTGCAGCTGTTGGTTTGATGCTGGTGTGAGAGTCTAGTTGGGACCTACTTTGGATGGTGGAAGGAGAATCCAGGAGGAACACAATTGCAATTGGTGGCTGTACCCTCTTCACGAAAACGCCAACTCAGGCAGTCCCCTCCTGGACTCGAAAGAAGGACAAGCCGTTTTTGAGTGCCAACAACAATGGGTGTCCTCTCCGCTCCAAGACTTCGACAACCATTGCCGGACTTGTCTTCTGTAGCTTCTCGCCTTGTCTTGTTTACCAGTTTCCACAACGCGCCGGGTGTTGCGCAAAGGCGAGCTGGACCCCTTCGATGAGGCGCATCGCTGGCTGGCCTGCACCCGCCTCATCGCGAAGGTGCCGGCGCGGAGGCCCAGAGCCACAGAGGGCCGTCCCATGCAGTCATGCAGTGGACCTCAGGAAACGATGGACCTAGCCCATCAAGCCCATAGAAGAGAAACCCACAAAAAAACTTTGGGGTTGTCCTTTCGGTTTCCTTTAAAACCACCAAAACACGGGGACCCTCAAAAACAAACACACCCACAGAGGAGATTGCCCCATGATGGCAATTTCCCGCGATGGAGGGAAACAAACAAGTATTTGCGCTTGCCTAAAACAAGAATTGGAGGGGGTTCCCTTTGTCGTATATTATACGCGATTTTTGGACAAGAATGGAGGGGGTTGACACCACATCACACTCCTTTTGAAGAAAACAACATGCCTTCTAGATTTGCGTTGCTGTTAAACGAGTCGACGAATGTTGTTTTTATGATCTGACCCACACAAGAAGAAATAGCAAGCCCCAGAACATGGGGAGTGGAGTGAGACAAACCAAGATCCCCTTTTCACCACACGGCCGCGACGGTACAACAGGGTTCCAATTTTTCATCTTTGCAAATCCCAAAAGGCTGTGCTTAGCACCAAAATGGCAAACACACGTTTTGTTTTTGCTATTCCAAACTGCCTGAAGTGAGCTGCTGTCTCGTTTTGCTTCGTTGGCCAAGGACAACCATGAATCAGAGTGTTGCCGCGGGATGTGGATTCCAAATACGGCACATGACGGTTTCAAAATGACACCAACCAACGGGACACCAATCGAATGTGCGGCTTTTAAGGGAAGGGCATTTGCTTGGTGTTTTCTTAAAGGGTCCTTAGTCTAAGGGCTATGTGAGGACACAGGCTGTGCGTGACTGTGTCAATTATTCCATGGCTCCGATTGTGCAACGCAAACATCATGTTGCATTCGTCCCCACGCCTTCAAACTGGGCGCGGCGCATTAACTTATATCACGGGCAACCTCGGCGCTTTTCGATACTGATATCCACTTCGCAGTTGATCCCAGTGTCTCATCCCAGTCCAACTGGTGGGCATGGGGATTGAAATTCAAAGACTGAACATTCAACAAATATGCCAATGTAGTTTGCCCTACCTCACCTGGTCCTCTCTGCCCTAAATCCATTGGAGATCTCCGGGTGGGTCCCTTCTCCCAGGTCCTCGCCTGCATGGCCTACAAGACCTCCATAGGCTGCGAATGGACCCCGAGTCCATGGCCCGGGTTTCCATTCAAGACGAAACACCTAAGCTCCAAAGAATATGGATGCCCCACAAAACATGTTGATATGGTATTTCTGGGGTATTTCTGGGAAAAGACCTAGATTTTTGGGATTCTGTCAAGTTTAGGAAAAGATCGTACTTCGGTACTTCCTTTTCTTAATGGTGCCTGTCTGAGGCTCCGACTTTTTGGGTCGCGCGAGTGATCGCCCTACAAATGTCGATTGGCAAGAGACAAATCAAGGGATTCCATTTAGAATGATATCCAAAAGAAACCCCTGGATATCAGAAGATTGTAAGCCTTGGAGAACATGCTAGTTGGCAATGGCGAGTGCTCAAAAATGTGGATGTCCTCTTGATGTAGGATTTGACGGCACACAGGATATGTTCCTGCAACTTGTCCCAATTGGGAACTTGCTTGGACTTCCGCATTGCTTCGGGATGGATTGGTTTGGGGATTTGACCCCTTGTTCTTGTAGGGTAAAGCCACCCCCGAACCACCTATCCACGAATCCAAACCACCAATTGGATTGGAAGCTAAGAGGAGCTGTCCACCCTTCAGGCCTGATTCTCTGGCAGATAGTTCCAGTAAACCGACTGACTGAACATTCGCTGGTTCCCAATGTAGAGTCTTCGCACGAGAGGGGTCGCTCACGCTTAGCCGAACAGAGCCTATGGGTGGGGCACTGTTACAGGGAACACGTCACAAACTCTGTGCCATGCTTCCGTTCAGTGTGCAGGTCAGCCACTGATGTACCCTCGTGCTGACCTCTCCTATGCAGAGAACTTCCTGTGGCTTGGCTGCATTGCGGGTGAACAGCACAGGTAGGTTTGCATGTCTGGCCGGCAGTCAAAATTGTGGTAGTGATAGGACAGTGAGGTGTTTCCATCATAAACGTCATATGGTGCTGAAGGTCATGCCAGCTGCACATGGTTCTCTTCCCTGGATGCGAAACAGCAATGACCAGGTGTTTTTGTCTACAAAAACATGTAAGGGGCTCGCTATGTGTAATGTAGGTGTCCTGAAATATTTAGTACCCAGTCGTTGAAATACGTGTTTATCAATTTACCGTACTTGGCCCTATATATGTGTTGGATGATGCTCATGTGAAAAACAAAAAAACACTAGGCTGGTTGGTAGTGAGGTTTACATGACCACAAACCCCTGCCTGCACCTAATTCTGGAAGACCAATCTGAGACTGTTGCAGTGGCAGGCATGTGCCGCAATATTTCTGGAGCTTCCATTCATGAAAATATGTATATACAGGTTTGTTCAAGGCAAATTTGAGCAATATAGCATCACAGAGGCGCTGAGTTTGTGTGAGGGGACGATGCCAAAACCGCTGTAGCCGGCCACCCAGAAGGCCAGAGCCATAGTCCAATGCGAAGGGCTGGGGCTACCCAAGAAGACCCTGGGCTACGCAAGCGCCAAGCACAGGAATGGGGGACACAGTCTGGGCACAAGGGATTCACTGAGGCGTGGCAGCCGCATGGCCACGCATGTCCCCAAGACAGAACTAGAGCTGTAGCCTGAGGCTAGGGCTGGGTGAAGCCCCAAGAGCAAGTGCTGAGGGGTGGGGCCTCTTTACAGGGCAAGGGGCAGTGGCCAGAAGAATTAGGGGTTTGGGGTGGGGCAGTTGGGCTGGGGCTGACATGGCAATTCGTTCCTTGGCTATGATCCAACCAGGGGTCTGACCGCTTCCCGCCCTTGAGGGCCAAGGCAAACATATGACACCTGAATTGTGAGGTTGTGCCACCTACGTTCAGCCTACTGTGCGTGCGCGCGTCCTCCAGTTTCTGAAAACATACCAAAAGTCAGGGTGACAGTCTGTCCTCGAGCACCTGTGCCACAACATGACTCGCAAGTCCCAGCTCAACTCAAAGGCTGTTTGTGGCGGAACCCTTGCTGTATATCAATAGGCTGCTTACTCGGGTTTACAGGACTGTTTGCTCAGCATCCACCCTTTTTGAGTGTGGCGCGAATCCCAGAAAGGAGGATCCCGGACAAGCCTGCTCAATCTCAATGGCATTTTGAGGACAGCCCAGTGTGTTCAGCCAAGCAGGTATCGATTCACAAGCATGTTGTTTTCGCAACCAGAAGGTTACTGAGAGCCCCATGTATTCCCAGCGTTGGGCAACAACGAATCATTTGGTCACCTCGCACTGGAGATGCCGAGGTACATGATGTTTGCCACGCCCATGGAGGAGTACAAGGTAAACCCGGTGGCCGCCAAAGCGATCAACGCCTTCATGATCCTCCATATGGACCACGCGACCTGGCTATGTCTCAAGCCTTTGACGGCGGTGGATGGTTTCCCGTAGATATCTGAAAGCTATCAACCAAAGGGTCTCCGACATTGATTACTGTCTGAACTCGCACAAATAACAGCTCCCTTGTCTATGTCCTTTGAGCTGAACAACCAACCACCTTGAACATTTCCTGTTTGTTCTTGAACAACATCACTTTGAACTTTGAGCAGGATTTGTTTCCCTAGAGCAAACAGCCGCTTTGATCGGTTCCTGTTGTTTCTTTTTTGCTTGAAGAGCTTGAAATGACATCCGCTTGACCACATTTTCCCAGGGAATCCAAAGACATGAGTAAACAGCGTTTCATACGTCTTTAGCGAGTAAACATGGTCTTGGGAAATTTCACGCTCATTCACGCTGCTCACGTGTTCACCTCTTGTTCTGCCACTGCACAGTCAGGCATCACCACCGCATTTTGCGCCAGATTGGTATTGATATTGTGTGCACAATTTTCATTGTTCGATAAGATAGCGCTAGGCGCACGTGTAGTCTAGTGTTGGAGCTAGGCGTTTATCAGGCACCACGCCAGGATCATCCATTGGCTGGCTGGACACACCACAATTTACACTTCAGGGCTTGCACGAGCACCGTGCTGAGAAGTAGACCGAGATTGCCATGCACATTACACACAGGAAGAATCCAATCTACAATGCGCACATGCTAATTTTGTGGAAACATTGCGGCCAAATTTTGCAGGCCCAAGGATCTAGTCCGAGCCACATAGCTGGGCAAACGGCTTTGTAGCCATGTAATTGTTGCAGCCCGAACCAGCAGGTTGTGGCATTTGGATCCGGGGGGGGGGGGAATTCACGTTTTTTTCACGGGTAAACTCCGTCTTTCACGGGTAAACTCCGTCGTTCACGCAAAATTCACGGTTGGCTCACGGTCCCCGATTTGTCAACGATATTGGTGAAGCATACAAATATAAACCGATACTGTCTGCGATTCCCATACAGCACAGCTAGCCTAAAAGCATCCAATTACCACCTCCTAGACGGTAGCCCTGCCCATGGCACAACCCAAGACACGCTGTTGCGCAGTGCTGCCACGAGTGTGTTGTTGTGCGTGTGACTTCTTGTATGCTGATGCCATCGCGTGAGTCACGCAGCGCAGCAGCGAAATACTTGCATGTGGCCAAGGTAATCTTGATCCATGGGGTCCATATCCATGCATGCTGCATAGCTAGCATGAAGGCTTACCTTGTCACATGCGTGGAAAATATGCCATACATGACTGCAATGTACATTGTTTGGCATGCAGGCATGCACTGGACCTTTGATGGTGCTTTCAGTTCTTGGGCCCAGTCAACAAATACCCCATTCACGGGCCATTCACGGGTAAACACCGTCTTTTGGGTTAAACACCGTCTTTCTGTAAAGACATAGTTTACTAGCGACTTGGAAGTACTGGGTTTTGTTCTTTCTCCCTTGAATCAACATCCTGATTTCTTCTTTGAACAAACCACACTCATTGAGCAATTTATGCTTTGTATCTGGGTGAAGCCGCGGGGTTGTCCCCTATGCTTCCCAAGGTGATCTCAAAGCCACCAAACGCTGACATGCCTGTTTAGCGTTTAGGGGATATGTACAGCCGCCAACAAGCAAACCTCACTCGAGTTCCAGGTTTTTCTACTTTTGGGGCAAGATTATGCAGGTGGTAAATAAAAGGTTCCGGCTGTTTGGGGTCAATCCACTCAGGACGCAAGACAAAGGGTGATCTCAAAAACTACCGCAGAGAACCCTGTCTTGGACCGCCTTTATGGGTGGTTTTCCCGGTCTGTTTTCCCCTTAAACAAGCCAAAGAAAATGGGCACCTTCTCGCAAGCCAACGAGGAGCAGAACGCCTCCACCTCCACGGTGCGCATCGCCGGAAGCTCCCAGGCCAACCCCTACGCCTGCATCGCCGCAGGCGCGAAATGTTCCCCATATGTCTCTCTCACATTGGGGATGTTGTTGTTTTGAGGAAACCGAATTGTTGGTTTGTTGTGTGTTTTTGCTTTTTGGGTTGGATTCAAAGGAAGGAGGAAAACCACCGATCTTGGGGGGTCACCCTATTTTGAGACATACCCTGGTCCCCAAATGGTGGCTTTTCCGAAAAACGTTTTATGCCCTAAATGAGTGTGTTTTTTCAAGAGTACCCTTTCCGTTTTTGTTGTTTTTGGCTTTACGGGGACCACAGAGAAACCACCTTTGTTTTCTTGGTGGGGTTCGCCTTGCTGAGCCATACGATACGGAGGATGCCCTAGATATTGCAAGCAAAAAGGTAACCCTCTAGTATTTGGCAGAAGTTACTATAGTTGTGTGGCTCAACCCTTTGCAGCACGTGCGCGCGCTTCGAAGGGCTCGCAGAAGGATTTGGAAGAGGCTCGCAGAAGGCACCCTCCGTGCGGCAGGTTTTGCGGATCCGCTTCGTTGCCAAGGCCACAAAGCCATTGGAGTCCCAAGATGTGGGAGTGTACCACAGACCGCCAGTGGCGCGATTTATTTGTTCAATTTCTATTGGAGGGGGTTCCCCTACAGTTAGCCTAAAATCGATTAAAAGAGGGGCCACAATAATTACAGTACTCATAGCTTAGCTTACCTTCATGATTATGACTAGATTTGTTCTTTAAGGACCCCAAAACCCACTATCATTGTCTTGGCTGCTACATTACCCCACAAAAAAATCCTGTTCAACAGAATAATAAAGAGGTTCCAAATTAAAATCAACCAAAAAAGTTGTGCCTTTTCTTCTTTTTTGGAAATCACATTGACTTTCCCTCAGGCGTTGCATCCTTGTGGGGCCCCGCGCATGGCGGCGCCAATGAGGCGGTCCCTTCGGCAGCAAATTGGTAGTCGGGGGTTGATGAGCGTTCCCCCATTTTCTTTTCTGCTGGTATTCAAACATCACCATGTCTGTCTCGGTTAAGGTGAGTTTCCCTTGACAGGGGTGTTTTTTAGGGGGGGAATATTGCGAACCCTGTTGAGCATGAAGGTTCCCATGGTCGAAAAAGCTTTGCAACCTTGCACTTGTGGCTGGGTCATGGATCCTTTAGCAGGGAAACCCTTGACTCACTCCCTGAGTTTCTGGACTTTACACTTGACGGGAAAGCCATTTTGGCTGAAAAAACGGTTTCAACTTTTCTTAGCCAATCAGGAAGTGAGTCTGGGCAGCATGGGGACTACGAATTCGAGTTCTTAGACTGGGTACTACATGTGCAATTGTTTGTTTTTTTCTTGTGGGAAGCCACGAGGCAAGGCGTCTTTGGAAGCATGCATGGCGCTGGTAATTTCTTATTAGACACCTTGACCAAGAGGTGATGGACATGTCCAAATGTTCGAACCCCTCGCAGGTGAGTTCCAATTGCCCTCTTTTGGTTTTTCCGCTTTGATTTGTCAGCTTTGTCCGTTGCCCTGTCCGTTGCCCTGTCCATGACCAATGCATTTGTCACTGGGACCATAGAGCGGGACTCTACCTTTCAGCACGGCACGGTTCCCTTGTTGCAAAAGCAGCTATGTTCATGTAGATGGAGGGGCAAGCCTGCTTTCCTTGACACATGTTTGCAATGAATTAATGGCACAGCCGCTCTAACAGCCACGTCAGCTAGCTGGCTAAGAGAGATCAATTCTCGACGTTGAGGTGGCAGCAACCAGTTTGGCCTTGCCGTCATGGTTTGCCGTGGTTTGCCATGGTTTGCCATGCATGTTTATGGTTTGCGCATTTTTTCCCAGGTGTGCATATGTAATTTTAGCAAGTGGGTAAAGTCCAACATTCATTCCGTCAAACCCTGATATGAGCGCCTGAATGGCAGCCAGCAAAAAACAAAACTACACATGGAGGTCCTTCTATGTCGGTTTTTGGATGGTTTAAACATCAGCTTTTGAGCCAATGTCCATTGACTTTCCTAAAACAAAAGCGGACACATACATCAGCACCGTACAGGCTTACAGCCTTACATACAGACGGATTATTTTTCCCCTTAAACATCACACCAAAAGGAACATGCTCAACCAATCCCAAAGGGGATATATAGGGACCGCTGTCTCCCCCGAGGTCATCACAATGCTGGAGCAGATCGGGACCCGCGAGAACGTGGGCAAGTTCATCGCCGACGTCAAAGCGAAGAAGGCGCCGAGAGTGGACCCCCAGACCCATGGGGCGCTTCCTTTTTGTCCTTTCTTGGAGAAAAAAGCAGTGGGTGCAAAAAAAACGGTACGTATTCTCTTTTGGAGGGGTTTTCCCTGCTAAAACCAACTACAGTAATTACCACAAACAGAGTGCCAATTCTATGTTCCACTGCCACTTGGGGTCTGGGCTCCGTACCCTCTTTGCAAAAAGCGAAGAATCAAAGAAGAGAGTTTGTGATTAACTCCGGTCCTCTTGAACAGGCCGGCAGCCGTCCACTTCCAGGATTGTTGGAAACCCCCCCGGAGTATGCAAGTAGGACCTCAGATTGTGGCAGGATTTGTGGGAATGGCAACGGTTCCGTCCAACCTTGCAATCACAAAGCTGGGCCAATTGCAGTGGCCTTAGGGGGGTTACCGACCTAACCATGATGGAGTGATCTCTTTTCGGCAAACGGATCCTTGTAGGAAATGGCTGGAAGGGTTATTCCTTATTCCTGGACAATAAGATCCAATGGCTTGTGCGGAAATGTCTCGCACTCAAGAAGAGGAAGCAACAGAATCTAGTTGACACTGCCCGAGCAACAATCGCAGGAATCTGACACTTGAACTAGGAGGTGTCTGCCCCTTCTTGAATCCTTGCTCGTAGCATCGACAGAAACAAACTAGAGGACCTGAGGAATGAGTTCTGTCAACTGTCATGAACGTGAACAGTGGAATACTTCAATCGGTTGCACATTGCTACATCGTGACATAATGTACAAAGCCAGGGATACACCCCGAGGTGTATGTATAGATGTATACACTTATTTAGCAACTGTTGTAGACAGTGAACTTGCGTCAGCAATACCCTTGCCTAGAACCGTGTTTGTATTGGTAGGTGCACACTTGAGATGTATATCACCCGCATATGCATTTCTATGCGCGGACATAGTGTTATATACATGTAAAATAATACATATATATATATATAGCTATATACATAAGTTCTAGAGGACTCGTTGATCCCGTGAAACGCGCTCGATGTCCTTTGCCTGCGAGGAGGGTGTGCGCCTGATGGGCTTTGGGCACCGCGTCTACAAGAACTATGCCCCTTGGCGCGGCTTCGCCTGCTTTGAGCCGCGAAGGTCTCGTCGGCTTGTTGAGTCTTTTTTTCCCATGCATTGCATCAACTGAATGAATGGATTTTCTTACAGACATTTGCTGTATGTTGTGCGTTGTATTTTCTAGTGCTGTTGGTGTACGCTAGAGATGTGGGCCATCATCCCGTATTTCTCTATGGTGAGTCAATCATGATTCAAGGGCACAAACTCGACACGAGGGTTTCTCAAAGTGGTCTCCCTTTCGGAAGGGGATTGAAAGGGAAAGCAGAATAAAACCAACCATATGGACCACCATTTTGAGAAACCCGCATGCACAGACATACTCTTAATTCTCAACAGGAAATCTCTTGCCAGCGGGCAAGAGATCCCCTGCCTTCTGAGAAAGATCGCTCGCGGTATGCCAGCGATGCCTTTTGTCTTTGACATTAAGGTGTGCGATTCGTCTGAGGCTTTTGATAAGTCTGGTTGGGGAAGCATGGTTTCATGGGATCCCACCCCCTCTGCTCAACAGGTCCTTGGTGAGGCTCCAGGGCTTTCAGGGGGGGGGGGGCGCATGCTGTTGAGACTCTCTTCCCTACATTCAGGGAATCAGCCACCGCTTTTTGCATAGGCCCCGTGTGGCCATAAAATTTAGGGGAATCACCTGCGAAGTGGTGGACATGCATCCCAACCATGTCCGCCATTCGGTCTGAGGACCCCAGGGCCAAGGTGATGAAGGGCCTCGTGGCCCAGGCGCGGCAGTCTGAAGCCACAGCTGTTTGCTAGTGGTTTCCTTAAACCAAACGGGTGGCCTCAACAAAAACACCAGCAGTTGGGTCAAAGCAGATGCCACTCTTCCGCTATTTCGCTTGAGTTTAGTCATCCCCTTTACCCGCGTGCAGGGAATTGTGCCAACGTTCGCCCTGGCGTACCCACCTTCTGGCAATCCTGGGAGTGGACGCTTGGAGCCTCCCCGACTTCCATGATTGGAGGGAATGCCAAGCTAAAGGAAAACAAGCTGAACCTCAACTGTCAGGGTGTAGGCTTAGTCAGATATATGGGCATGTCTTTTTTGGGGGGACTCGCCGAATATTTGCCTTCCTTTTGGTTTCCTTTTCAAAACCACAAAAGAACGGAGCCCTCAAAAACATACTTGCACATATGGGTGATTTTGTTTTGAGGCTAGCAGAGGGAAAGTAAGGGGGAGCCACCCATGTCGGGGTTCCCACATTGGAGAGAAGCCCTGTGGGTTTACGTGACCCCAGCACCCTTGCGAGGCTTCGCTTGGAAGCGTCGTCTTGAATCAAATCTTAATCCTTAAGCCTGGTGCCAGATTGTTGTCCACCCAACCGCTGCTTTGCTGGCGACAGTACTTTCGATTTTCAGCATGGGACAGAACAGTTGTTGGGTGCTGGGTGGTTTCCCTGTTTTCACGCAGTGTCCCACTCATGTCGGATCGGGATCTGAGATGCCCACATCTTGAACAACACAAAATGCTTCAAGGGGGGACAAGAACCCGGGTGACAGACACCCGAGAGAATTTGGACAGAATGGCCTTCCTTCAACAGGAACATCTGGGTCTGTCTTTCTGGAGGGTACCCCGTTTTCTTTGCGGTTTTAAAGGAACCTGAAAGGAATAGCCATTTTGAGGTCCCCTAAAAACAGACACTGTCACATCCATCTTCACGTCTAGAGGCGCAGACTTCTTCTTTTCCAATGTGGGCAGCGGTCTGAGCCTCTAAAGTCAGCCAAAGCACAAGGGTAAGTGGGAGCTTCTCAAACTGGCGGACCTGCTTTCAGTTGGTATGTGCAGGGCAACCACAAGAAAACCGCCAACATCTTGTTGTACCTTCCGACTTGATGATAGACGATATTCAAACGTGGAAGTGTGTGGTTGACATTGACCTTTGCACCAAAAAGAACAAGCAAAAGCTGGAGGTTCAGCATCTCAACTTGGGACCATTAGGACCTTAGGAGCGAGCGAAGCAGACCTCCATCCTTTTTTGCAGGTGCTGAAAGAGCTGGGGGTGGATGATCCGCTGCTCGGCGTGGCGCAGGAGCTTGAAAAGGCACGGCTGACGCCCTCAGCCGACACTAAACCGTCCCATGGTTGGCCGGTCAAGGAATCGACACATCCCGATAAGGTAGCCCCTTTTGGAATAAACTCTGTTTGGGGGTTGTTTTAAGGGAATCCAAAGTAAACCAACCCTGTCAGGGTTCCCCATTTGCACTTAACATTTATTTAATTGGCAATGGTCTTGAAAGCACAAATTGGGTTCAGTTGTCCTGTCTTGCTTTGCTTGGGTGGGAACGAGACAGGCACTCCCCCAAAGGCCAGCAGTCTTTCTCTTGAAAGGGACGTCTGTACACTTTTGTCTTCCCCTCGCAAAAGGCGTCACCTCCACCGGCTCCCCTCCCAAATAGCACTTGCGGAGAAACATAATTTTATGATCAGGGCGGAAGATTAATGCACGAGAACGAATGGCATGATGTACACCGGCCGCGGTTTCACGCTGAAAGTTGGGCCGGGGGTAGATGCTCCGAGGTATCCCCATCAAAAGAGCAATGACCAGGCCAAGGGCCTGTTTCCTTGTGGAAGTATGCGCCATTTGGTGGCGTTGGCCATGGCGGTGTACTGTCTTCAGTCTTTTCAATGTAGCCAACGCGCAAAAGGAGCTGTTCGGTTTAAATGAAGCAACAAATAATGAAGCGAGAAGCAACTTTTTTCGGATGGATGTTGGGTGTTGCCCAAACTGAAGAACGGTGCTTAAAAGCTTCAGGTCCGAGCAGTCACCGAGATGTTCCAGCTGTAGAGAGACACTTGTGGAGGAACAGCTTGGGTTTGATGTTGGCTTTGCCAAGAAAGCCCCAAACGGTCACTCTCCGGGTAGCCAAAATGGAGATCCGGCGCAGCCCAAGCGGCTGCTCCCTGTTAATTACCCTGGCAGTCCCAGCCACATTTAGCGCTTAGAGGGATTTGCAACGTATCCCAGCAAGGTATCAACGAGCCAAGTCCCGGACACCCAGTAAAAGTTGTTTGTTTGCTTGTTTGCTTTCTTTGGATGGCTTCCTTTTATGGTCAACTTCCCAAATGTACCCCCGCCCACCCATTTTTCCATGGACAATGGGAGTTTGGGTTTGGGCCAGTTTCATAAGTACCCAAATCCCAGTTGATTTGGAGGATCCGAATCCTCGTTCCTGGCCTTTAAATGGCCACTGAGCTGTGTCGCGGAGGCCGCGCTGAGCGACGACTACTTCGTGCAGCGGAAGCTGTACCCGAATGTGGACTACTACTCGGGGATCATGCTCCGGGCCATCGGCATTCCTACCTCCATGTTCACGGCACCTTTGGTTGCATGCGCCCCCAGTTTGAGAAGCTTCCTGGACCACTGCATTTCCCTCAGGACCATTGACAGTTGTGAATGGTGCGTGTGTGCGTGTGTGTGTGTCTTGGTTTGAAGGGACACCTCGCTCTAGGGGGTGGTTTTCAAGGAACACCAGAGGGAAAACCACCCGTTTGGTGTGCAGGTTCAATTTGAAGACCAGCCCATTTGACTTGCAGAATGTTAGGGCGTTAACTAGTTTTTCCCCTTGAAGGATTATTTCAACCATAACCTGTTACAGAGGCCAAGCGTGAGTGTCCTTTTCAAGCGTGTTTGACAGCTTTCCGTGATATGATTGTGTAATGTTTTGGAGCCCTTTAAAACCAAAGTAAGCCATGACCATAGGAGAGAAAATGTGTTTTTTGTTAGTCCCGTATACTCAGGTAGCCCTTAGCTGGTGGTTTGGATTGGTGGTGGGATTGAACCCCTGGTTCTTGTAGCTGGGCTGCAAGCTCCAAACCATCAGGGGAAGGGAAGCTGAATGTTATGGCCCCAAGTGTCACCCATGAAGTCTCCTTGTAGAAATATCCTAGCTCACGTTGTGACACGGGGGAGTCTCGTTGAGGCCAAAGACACATTCGGGGCTCCGCTTTTTCAAGACACGCACAAATGATAGTGGCTCTGGAATTGGGCTATGCTTCGACAGAGAAGCTAATACACCTTTGCAAGTGATGTTGGGCATGTTGGTCAAATGTGATTGTTTCGCTTTTATTGGATGTCAACTTATACATATTCTCTGAGAGCCCATGAGCAAAGCTGTCACGACCTTGTGAAGGAAGATTGCAACAACAAGTGCTGCTTGGTCATCGCTGCAGTTTCAGATCAAAAGATGTAATCGGCATTTGTTGGGAGATTCTGTCTTACTGTTGATTTTCGGTTGTTTTTAGTGGCGCCACGCGCTCCGCCGAATAACGCGTGTTTCAATCCACTTTCGCCATGCTTCCTCAAAAAGGTGGTGACCTTTCCGAGGTTGTCAATGGGTGGGAGGTTTTAAACCTCCCAAATGGGTATGGGTTCGAAAGCAGCCCAGGTCATGTTTGCCATGTCGCGGACGGTCGGCTGGGTATCTCAGTGGAATGAGATGGCCGGAACCTCAGTTGAATCGCCCTTTGAGCGATCGGCGACATGAGAGCTCATGGGCGGGTAAGTTTGTTGGGTTTGTTTACAGGAGAACAAAATGGAACCACACATTTTTGAGGTCCCCGTCCGTGTCGTCATATTCTGCGCCGCTTTTGCCATGATGGGTTTGCAGTGTTTTTAGGGTGTGTGGTTTTGCTTGTTCCACACGAAAACCAAAGGGAAACCACGCATTCTTACAAGACGACCAGAGGAACCCACGCATTCTGAGTTTCGGTGATTGCAGCTACCTGCAGAATAGGTGCGAAAGCAAGGAAACTACCTTTCAACACCCACCTAGCAGGAACTCAATGCCTGGTTGCCTGCTCTTAGTGACAATTAACTTGGATCCACTGGGTTTGCTTTGGATTCATGCGGGTCTTTTGTACTCACCACTCCCGCAATGGACCAATCCAGCTCAAGTTACGTGTCCGCAGTGAACATTACAACGAGAAGTGCGGCGGGGAGAGCACCATCCCGTCGCTTTTCAGAAATCTCCTGCAAGACTAGTTTTGAGGTTCATCTCCCATAGAGGAAGCAGGTATTTTTTGCGATGTTTGGATGCCCCTTTGTCAGTTCGCTGGTGTTCCAAGGATGTCACCGGCTTGGAGTGAGCTCAGATTTTGATGCTCAGCCAACAGTGTGGGCAATTGTGAGTCTCTGAAGGTTGTTTATTTGCATGCAGCAGACGAGAACGGGCTATGCTGCACAGTTCCATACCAGTCTCACATACATAGACAAACACAGACAGGATCTCAATATGAACATGAGCTGCGGTCGACATCTGAAATTACTTAAAGGACACAATGAGTCAGTCCCTGGCTGAAAATTCGTCAATGCCCCCTATGCCTGTATGTCCCAAACCCCAAATTGACCTCCGACAAGTTTATGTTGACCGGGCCTCACTAGCATCAACAATCCCAGCAGAACAAGCAAAGGTTGATGCCATCCTTTGAACTGAGTCCTGCAAACTGGTGTATGCCCAACATGTCGCGGCTGTGCTAAAAATCAAAATCATCAATCCCTATCGGATTCTGTGAGTCTCAAATGAAAGCCAAAGGAACCCGGAACACCATTGCTAGGAGTTCAGCAAATCAATCTTACTTCAAGTTTCAAGCAGGGTTTCCTGAAATAGTAGGGCACCCCCATGGGCGGGGAAAGAGGAGTTGACTCTCATTTCTGTGATGACGGGGAACCTGCCCCGGGCCATCAATCACTGGGAATTCCTTCCCAGGGCCAAAGCGGGTCCTTTCGTTTGCGGAATTGGTTGTTGTTCAATTCGGTTTCCGTCCAATCGCCGTCCAAACAGGATTGCGATTGAAATTTGCGTTTTTTGGTACCTTCCCACTAAGACTGGTCAGGCCCACAGGGGCCCACCAGAGTTTCCTTGTTCAACCAGAGTCACATCACTGCGACTGTTTGAAACCCTTTCCGCGCAAACGGAGCCGCGCGGGAGCCGCACGTGACCGCGCGTGGAGGTCGCGGAGGGCCAGATGCGCATCGGCCGGCCACGGCAGCTCTACGTGGGACCCCAGGAAAGGACTTGGAAGCCTGAGGACCCGGGAGCGGAAAGGATGCTTATAATCAACATCAGGAGGTTATAACTTATAACCATGATCATAACTGGTGCAACTGGGAACTGTCCCGTTAGTAGCCATGGTTATACAGGGGTCCCTAAATTCCCTCTTTTGAGCCTCCAAAAGTGGCAACTGTTGCACGGGGAATCCAGTGACCTTTGTTGTCACCTGCTTGCTAAGTTGGTTAAACTATCAACAGGGGTCTCGAATCTTTTGGTTTCAATGGTGGTGTTTTGCGCCTGATTCATACCCCCTGGCTGTTTTTGGACGGGGTGTTTCTCTTTAGTGGGAATCCTTTACTTGTGTGGCATTTGTTATCTGGGCCAAGGGTTTACCGAGGGAGAAGCCTTGCATGGCGGTCAGACATTGCATTCCCTCTAGGCAGTTCATGCTTGCATCAATGCATATATTTAGATGTATCTATATGTTTATACGCTTGTAAGAAATATATTTAATTGTAATCACTCAATGATAGAGATACCTATGTGATCTTGCCAAGTCAGTGTGGAACAACAAGTACAAGCTTTTTGTGCCTGACCCTGAACCTTCTAGTTCTTTGACGTCTCTTTGTTGCCAACTGGCAGGACGGCTTGCCCCAGATGTACACCTAGTGTAGGGCTTCTCTTGGAGGCATGCCACCCTTTAAAGGCACCACCCTGCCGGCAATCAGAGTGTTGATTCCAGGGATGCACAGGTCAGGAACCTTCGCGCCATCCACAAGCCAACTTGGGGCCTTCGCAAGGAACCAGCCCTCCTTGAGCCGTTTCGGTTGGCCGAGAAACCCGACTAGGTCTTGATTTCCCCTAAACAAAAACTCCAAAAACTATGTTGAATTCTCTGTGTGAAATGCCACTTCTCAGATACCAAGGGTTGGAATTGTCAGCCATGTTCCAGTTATAACCATGATTCTAACCTAAGTTGGTTGAACGTCCAAGTTGTGTCCAGACGAGTAACCCTGCCCGATTCGATTTGATTCGCAGGACATGTCGGAGGAGAAGAGCCCATCACAAACAGTGGTGAACTTCGCACCACGGACACCCGGACTCACAAAAATGGGGCGAGTGAGTTGGGAAACATGTGGGTGGCTCGGGGTTTTAAAGGAGAATCACATGAAACCACCATTTTGGAGGTCACCCAAAAGAGAGACACCCAAAAGGGTGTCGTTTTTGTTGCAGACGACTCTTTTTGGGCTGCTTGTAAAGGGAATCAAAGAGAACCACTGGTTGGGGGTTGTCTCCAAGCAACGAACAATATTGCCGCTCTGTTCTTCATTTCGCGAGGATGAGACGGGGTGCCGTGTTCTCGCCCAGTTGAATCAATTGTAGATAATGTCCGTGGCGCATATCTTGCCGGATTGATAGGCAGGGAATGAGGGAATGACCCCCTACCAACCATCCTTTTTGGCTTAAAAGAAATCCCCAGGTTCATTCCCAAAACTCTAGTTGATTCCCTGCTCAGAACCAGCAAAATATGGGATTGTGTTTTTTTGGAGAGTAGACGCTGTGCTTTTTGCGTGGGGGTGGGGTGGGGGGGGGAAAGAACAGGAACATCACTTTTCTGGGAGTCCCCCAATTTTGACGCATACCCATATTGTCCAAAAACCTCCTCTACTGGGGTTGGTAGGGATGGTCGTGGTCGCCGTAGTGAGGATTGGAGACAACCATTCGTAAGGGACCCACGATCCTGACCCACAAAAGGAGTTTTGAGCGGGGTTCATTTGGTTCAGGGTTTTGTTGTTTGGATGTTTCTCTGAATGTCAAAACTACTGAACATCATACCCAGAGGGTCCAAGCACGTTGGTGGAATGTTCCTCTTAAACTAGAAATTGAGGTACTCTCAGCAAATGCGCCAGGAGGGAAGCATGAGAATGACCTTATGCAGAATTGACCATGGCACGCAGGCCGTAATGTTTGCTTGGAACACCCTCAAATAGAATTTGCATTTGTGAATCTGGGATCCCAGCGTGGTTGGAACCCAGAATTCAGCAGAAATTCACACCAGAATTAGCCAGTAGTCTATGGTGCATTTGAGGTTCGAGATATTGGCGGCTCGCGCGAAATTCAACCAAAGCCAGATGACGCAACCCACAATTCGCCGTTGTCCTGTGAGGAACTGCCGAGCTACCACAATGGTACCTAACATTTACTGTACTATCTTTGTTTTACTTGGGCCCGGTTTTTGGAATCCCCATGTTAAAGTGACCCTGGTCTTTGGAGGAACGAATGGCCCCTCAGATTTGTGTGTTTTCATCCTTACGAAAAGTCTAGCGACCTTTGCTCAGGGCATGGAGCAACCCCCGCCCCCGGGGCGCATTTTGGTTGAACGTGCCGAGGAGATCCTCCTCTTTCTCCAAGCGCGTACCAGATGTCTCAACCCGCTGAGCTTTGCAGACCTTCGTTTCCACTACTTGGCTCGGTCTTTTGGCGGTAATTTCTCTTTTTTGTTGTTTGAAAGAGAAAGCAAAAGGAAAGCCACCGGTCGGCGGGGTGGGGGTCCCCTACAAACTGACACTCCCAAGTACAGATTGATGGGTCATATGTGCTAGGGGCTGAGTTCGCGGCTGCTAATATGGCGAGGTCTGGCAGGGGTCACCGCTTCAAGCCTTCGCGCTCCTGTGTTGAATCATGTGGCTGTGTCTTAATAGAGATCCGTAAAATGATAGATTTTTCACAGGTGTTCTGAAAAGGGTTACCAAAAACCACACCCACAGCAATTTGCGAGCCGAATGCTAGATCTTCTTTGTGTAGGGCGTTTGAAGGAAGGATACCCTCAAGGCCATCGTCCGGCATTCTGCTCGATCGCTTTTGGGAGCCAGTCCATCAATCGGATGAGCAGATGAGCATCCATCGTGAGGTTCCTTGCATATCCGGACAACATAGTTGTCATGAGAGCACGTTAAATCAAGCAGCGGCAGCCTCGATTGTCGAAAGCAGGCCTTTTCCATGTTTGTTTGGTGGGTTCCTGACTGAAAATGGTCAACTCCAAAACGGGTTCTCTTTTATACCAGGGTCTCTAGACAACTTGGATGACCTACCCATGGACGCATTTGCTTGCCGATATGCTGGATCATGGCGGTTGAATGGAAGCTAGGGGCTTTTCAGGAAGTGACCTTGAATACTGCCCTGTTCCTCATCTACAGGGCTGTGTTTCTTTGAGGACACTTGCCAGTAGGTCCCTGGGTCTTAAGTTGCATTCCCCGTTGGTCTTTTCGTGGAGGAAGAAGTCACTGTCCCGGACCTCGACTTGGCACGCGCGTGTTGCCGCGTTGCGGTCGTGTTGACGTGCATGGGCATTTCCGGCAAAGGCCGTGAATGTATCCCGTGCCGCGATCATTTGTCAGTTTGAACGCTGGGGCGCACGCGCGCTACTTTTGAACTGACGCATTTGAGGCCTCCGGTAGGTCGCAGGTGCACATTTCAGATTTCAGATCAATGACCGCCCGATCAAGAGTGATTTTCCCCTTCAGCTGGGCCTTGTATTTATTGAAACTGCTGAGTCCTTAATGTATTGCTGGTTCTTTGCCCCATGGAGGGACCACGTGTAGAGGGTGACCGCATGCCAAAGTAGCCGAGCTAATCGACACGTGGGTGTGCATGTGGGTGTGTGTCTCTCTTTGAGGGTACTTCTTGAAGTTATGTCAAAGGCAAACCAAGAGAAGATCTGTGCATCGCATGGCAATTGGCCTCCACCTACCGGGGGCTGAGATTGATCCTGGCCATGTGTCCGGCTCGGATCCCGTTCCAAAGTCGTTTTGAAGCAGTGCGCGCTTGGCCAAGATAGGCGCGCGCAAGGGGGACTTACACAATTATCTGGATCCATTTATGCTTTTGTTTGTCGTTTTCAGAACTTTTTGTTTTCCGAACCCCTTAGAAGTGTTTCTCGAGCATTTTCAACAACATGGTCTAAGCATAAGTGTCCACGTGTGAGTGACGGCCGCATTGCGCCTTTCTGCTTTTGTGGCCACGTGCTGCCTAATTATAGTTTCAGATCAGAGTTTCGACGATTAAAAGCTGCTTGCCCTCATGGTGCGCAGAGACCTTCCTTTACAAAAATATAGAATGCTTACTCCAAAAGGGGCGCCATACCTTGCGATTGGCACGGGAAGTTGATCATGCACCGCCTGCCCCGTGTAGCTTGGACAGGTACGGCGATGGGGACCAATCTGACACCGCTTTGGATGGGTGAGAAATAGCCCGTCGATTTTCCCACAAGGACCTGACCGGGCATGCATGGGTATTAGTTTGATTTGTCCACCCCTTATTCAAGACCCCAGGAAAACAGGCCGATTTTGCAGGGGAACGAGCTCACCAGCAGGCGGAGATCCCTAGTTTTGGCGGAGATCTTTAGGTCTTTGTTGTAGGTTGACCCAGACCTCCAATGTCCGTTAATCATTTTCTGGAGGAGGTTCCCTTTAAATTCCATGGCCACAAGCCCTTTTTTCCCGTGCCACGGGGGGTATGTGGTAAATAGCACAGTAGGGGAAGTCTACCGAGGCGCGATGTTCACCAGGGTTATTTTTGTTTTTATCAACAAAGGTCACTCAACTGGGTAGGTTTGATTTCCGGTTTGTGATTCGGGGGCTGCCACTTGCATCCAGCAACTCCCAGAGGCACCACATTCATGGAAGCCTGTGGCCCAAGGTCCGTAAAGGCTTGCAAAAGAGGCTCCAATAGTAGCCTTAAATGCGGTTTCGTATTTGCTCAGGGGAAGCAACTATATTTCGGTTGCTATTCAAATTGGGGGAGGAACATATAAGTGGGTTCCCTTTGGTTTTGCGTCTAACACAACCTCAACAAGGGTACCGGTCAAAGCAAATCCAACCGATTTATGCGCGCGCATGCGCTTGCAAACATATTGAGCATGTAGGGGGGGGGATCTGAAAAGTATCCTGCCAGGTACCTCCCAGCCCCCCAGTCTTTCTGTGAACGCGGACCGGGCGCGCACGCGAATGTGCTTCCTGCCGAGGTGCCTTCCGCAAAGCCCGGAGAGAGCCGCTTGGTCGCGTGGGTTTTCAGTTGACAGCTTCAGGGTCGATAGGCCCAAATAGGCTAAGTTGCTCGGAGCAGAGGGCTTAGAAAGGGTTGCAAAAGGGTTGCAGAAGGGTTGCTGTTGGGGATTTCCCCTGGCCTTGTTTTCCCCCGACAGCAACGGCTATAGGGTCTCAACCAATCCCAGGTTTGGGCAGGTTCCGGTGAGGTTCAGGTGTCAATCTTCGGACCCTTCGGTGGGTCATGTGAAGCGGAAACCCAACCTCAAATGCAACCATTTGGAAGCCAACAGTCAGGTAGAGGTGTGGTGAGATTTGGTAATGGTTGCTTGCTTGTGCCGAACACATGAATAGTTCGGGGTTGGCATGGATGTGAAGCGTCCTTTTCGTTTTCCTACCCCCAAAATGGCAAACTAGCAGAACACTGCACACATCATCGATTCTGTTGCCAAAGTGGCTCCCTGAGGCAACAGCTGCACAGTCCTCAACGGAGCCGCCACAATTTGCTTCTGCACAGTGAAAGTCAGTCCGAGATTGCAACGCCCGCACCTTTAAATTCAAAATAGTGTCATGAAATACTGTCAGATTCCCAGCTAAATTCACCAGAGTAAGTCTTGGCACCATTGTATTCTGATGCTGTCCTTTTCGATTCACAATAATTGGACAATGCGGGTTCCTTGTCGCACTGTGCCTTTGCCCAGGCACAACTCCATCCTCGCCTGTGCTCCCCTCAGTGCAGCAGCTGGTGACGCAAGCAGACATCGAACGAGCCAGCAAGCAACCATACATGGAGTAGGGCTGCGGACCGCTTGAGGACTACATCATTGTTATGTTGATCATGATCATGTTTTTGGGAAAGGCCATGACCATTCCTCATAGCGTGAACTCTTTATTTTGCTTGTCATGTGACCCTCCTGGGACGGTGTTCATGGGAATTCCAGGGGAAGAAGGCCGATTTAGATGGCAATGTCCTGAAAACTGCTCACAGGTTTTAAATGGGGTTGTCGCCTTATCCCCACTCCCTTAAAATGGAATTGGGATCACCCTGAATTACATTTGTGGTTCGATGTTCCCTTTATTCCCCATCCCTTGAGGTAGGGGGGATGCCACATGTTCATGGTCTTTTTTGATGGAGGACGGACCACCGAGCTTCAGGGTCCCATTGTTTGCTAGCTTTCCTCATCAGATGAGCCAACCCTAGGACCCCCGGTAAATGGGTTTGTCTCAAAATAGGTGTACCCCAAAACGGGTGGTTTACCTTTTTGGTTTTCCCTTGAACTTCTGCTGCTTGGTTTGGCCATCCCGTTAACCCACACTGTTTTAAGCCTTAAGACACCAAAACGGGCGTTTCTCGAAATAGGGGTCTCGTTCTTGGAAGCATTTTGAGAATCTCCGAAATGGAGCCCCGCCCAACAGGCCGCCCCGCCGAATCGGGCCGATATCTGGTCCGATTCTTTTTCAGGCGGTGAGCTGCCGCGAGGCCGAGAGCGAGGATGAGGCGTTGGCGGATGCGCCAGGGGCCCCGAAACCGGCGGTTGGCCCCTGAGGCCTTTTGGAGCCGATGTCCTTCTTGGAATCAATCAGCGACCACAATGTGAGCCTTAGACCGGTTGGAAACTTGATTGTCCATGAAACCTGCGAAAGGTTTTTGGCCAATCCAGAGGAACTCATCGAAAGGGTGAACTTATTTTTGACAGTTTCCGTTGCTTACCCTTCAATGGGTTTCAGAACGTTTTCCCAGTGGATCATTGCCAGACTTCACTGGCTTCTTTGCCTACTTGCCCCTAGCTCTCGTAGCTTTTCAGCACCTTACGTTTGAGAGCAAACCGTGAACTCTGTGCAGGAAATCTAAGTCTGGCGCCCAGTTCCATGAACGTTTATAGAAGTTCCTCCAGCTCAAGCAAAGAACGCCACCACAAGTGCCCATCTTGATCCACAAGATGGGCTCCCCACTTTGAGGAACCTAAAACAAACTGGCTCTGTGTGCGTAGATGAACCCTTTTGAGGGAACTCAGTTCCCTTTTGGTTCCTCTTGAAAGCCGGCCAATTCAAAGAACAACCTACGGAAATCATACAAGAATTCCTTTCGATCGGTGTCCCCATTTCGAACCACTCCCCCAGTTTGTGACTGTGAACTTTCCTTTAAGTTACTTGTTGGTTGTAAACAACAAATCTGGATTGCTTGTTTGACCGATCTGTTCAGATAAGTGGGGTAATCATGTTCCTCCTATAATAATATAAGCGACGCAAACATTGGCTGGCAGAAAAAAAAAGCACATGCATCATACCATATATACATACATGTAATATGTTTATTGACTATGTATTATATAAATATATAATAGTACATAATAAATAAACAATATGACCTATATATATCTATATATGTATAGCTTAGTGTATATACATTATTGACAATAGAGGGAAGCGATGGACAATGTCTTTCCGTTTCGACACGGCGAGGTTCTGGAACACCTGCAAAGCGGCGCCGCCTCCCGCAGCCGGGGCTCTCGGGAAAAGGGCGCTTCTTTTCGTTGCCGAGATATGCCCCGACCTTTGGGCCACGTTTGGGGCCACCTGACATGATTGACCTCATTTGAACTCAGGAACTGGCAGGGTTTGTAGTATAGATGGCACCCGCAAGAAAGACCAACTGGCCCGAGAGGCTTCACGAATGCATTTGAAGTGGTTTCATGCAGCTGAATTGCCGCGAAAGGAAAACCTGCCGAAAGGGGAGGGATCGGAAGTTCACATGATGGCATTGCTCATTGCCAGCTTGAGCAAGTTGGAGTTCGGCGTCCGGGGCCCGTTTTGGAGCTCCCGAAGCCAACCATTCCTTTAGGTAACCACCTAGCAGCCCAGCCAGTCCCGCCCCTTCTTTCATTTCTGACTTCCCCAGCGGAGGGTTAGTCAGACACTCCTTCTACGTGCGCACCCATCCAGGAATCCTTGTCATGCCTGTCTGAAAATCCCTAACGTCCTTAGAAGGAAAGAAATGGTTTACCATGGGCTACATTTGATAAATTTCTTCGCAACCCAAAATGAGCAAGTGAGTGTTGGGCCAGACTTGGACCTTCGAAAAGGCAAGACTGTTTGAAACATCAAGGGATCAGGCAAGCTGAAGGAAACCCATTGGCCCATTGGTGAACGAAGGGGAAAATGACAGTTGTCTTGGCTTATTCCTTCCATCATCATCTTGGCATAGCCCCAGAAAGCTCCGAGAACAAGCAGGAACCATCTAAATGAAAGTCCAACCCCTGGTTATCATGGAGAATACGGTAACTTCATGGAGGATTTCTTGAAGATTGTTTCTTTAAAACAAAAACCCGAAGATTTGGGACATTTCCTGGTTTCTTGAAGATTTTGATAATTTCCTGGTTTCTTAGGAAGTTTGCTGGTAAAGGGGAAATGAGGGACACCCCGAGCTTTTGACCATGTCGCGTCCCAGGTACCGCCACCCAGACCCAGGCGAAGCGCGCTTTGTGATTTGCTTGTTTTGGGCGTTTCACGAAATGGTGAACCCCTTTAAAGGGAAACCAAGAGGGGATATCAACTTTTTCAGGGGACCCCCTACTTTGAGAACCATGTTTTGGTGGTTGCTGCAAAGGGGAACCGACGCCCTTCATTGGGGGGAAAGAAGATGGCACCTAATGTGGGGAAGTAAAGGGGATGACCAAGCCTACTGGTAGGTTCATTCCCATCCCGACAAAGGATAAGCAAGACCGCTGCATGTTAGGAGTAGTCGGTAGAAGTTCAAGCGCTCAGTCACCAAACAGGACTGCATTTGGAGGCAGCTAAACATTTGGAGTGCCTGCGGCCGACCTGATGTTCGGGCACACAACAACTCGCAAATTCAGCAAAGCAGCTTCTGAAATGAGCAGGAGGGATCAATGCACCACAGTAGTTCGGGATTGGCCATGGCTATGCTAGGCCAAGCATTCTTTAAGACAGCGGTGCCGCAAAGAGGCTTCATTGTTACTCGGAAAAGCTAACACATGCGGATTCCTGGCTGAACGAAACCAGCCATTCAGAATCATGACCATTGCCACCCAAAGCTTGCAGCCAAGAAAAGCCACGAGTAGCGCCTGGCACAAGCTGACGGTGAAAGAGGCAAGCACACATCCCCACCCCGAGAAGGTGCTTCTCGTTATTTTGAGGTATGTACTATTGTTTGTGGGCAGCCTGAGGAGGATGAGGGACAGCTCTCTCTCTCTCCCTCTCTCGAACGAGACAGAGAAAGAGAAGAGGAAAGAGAAGAGGATGAGAAAGAGAAAAAGAGAGAAGAGAAAGTAAGGGAAAGAGGAAAGGAAACAAGAGAAGAGAGGCAGAGAGAGAGAGAACAGTGAGAGGGAAAAGTTTCGAGAGAACCGAGAAAGGGAAAGATAACTACATATATAGTCCTTTTATGTCTAAATCTACTTGCCAGCCGGCTTGGGCGGCTTTGATGGTGTATACAGTATATATGTTCATAGTCAGAATGATTTTTCGCGGCAAGGACCCACCAAGTCCACATGCCCCTGATGGCAGTTGGATCCAAGAAACTAAGCGTTGTTGCCGTGGCTCATAGAGATCATGTTAAAACCGGGGAGCCCTTCAATTGTTTGGTTTCATTTGTCCGTCAACGATGCGCATGCCCAAGACTGCCCACCACAGACAGCTCATAGAATGGGTCTTGGTAGGCATTGGTTTCCCTGAAGTGAACGACTCGGGCCCAGAGCAATTTTGTTTGGCATTTTTGCAACAAGTTGGATCCTTCGTGGTTCTTTTTCAAAAATGCCATGTCACCGAGCAATCTCTGATTGGAGTGGTCCAGTTGGCTTCGACACATAGCAGCGTGATGCAAGTGCAAGACTGCCACAACCCCACATGCGCACAGCCAACACCAAGTTTCCAGGACAGCATGGAAATAAGAAAAGGGCCTCTAGATGCAGAGAGGCGACTACTTTTTTGTGCCAACAAAATGGAGAGCACTCAAACGGACTGTTTCTCAAGTTGTACTTTGCTTGGGTTGCTGACTTTCTCCTTCGTTTGCCAACGCTTCACACAAAACCTCGCCTGTTTTGGTCAGCGCTTCCAGGTGGCTGAACGGAAACCAACCATTCTCCGGGGTCCCAATACATGAAACATGCCAAATGGGTCTTGAGGTTTCCAGCTTCCAGCCGGGTATCCACAGATTTTCCTGAAGGGGTTGGGTAATTATTGGCAGACCTCCGTTTGAGGTCTGTTAGCCTCTCCTTCAACGCTAGACACCCCAAGCTGCATGTCGCAAGTTTACTGGGGATCCCAGACGCATTCTCATTCGAATTTGGGGCCCTGGCGGGCGGGGGGGGGTCTATATGGTGGGGTCTGTGCCAGGATCAGCCTGGGAGAAATCAGGCCCCAGGAGGTTCAGACGTCCATGTATCATCCTGAATCAACCTTTCGGATCGGAGATGGTGCCCTTGACCAAAATGATGAAAGGAAAGAAACAAAAACATTAGGGTTGACTGAGCAAGCCCATAGGATGCCCATTTAATGCCCATAGGATGCCCATAGGATTCCAGGATTTAGGCTTGTTCAAGACCTAATCCCCGATGATTAGCGGATTGCAGATACTGCGGCTTACGGATTAGATTACGCGTCTGCGGGATGTTCGATGCTCCAGTATCAAGTTTCGACCCACAAATTGCAGCGCGGATGAACAAGGATCAAGCGAATTTTGGATTGCGAGGTCCAGATTTCAAGGCGAGGGGTTTTGCCGCCCTCGCAGGCCGCCAGCGCCTGCCTCGATAGCCTTGGCCTCGCGCCAGCGGATGGCGCGGCCCAAAGTGGGGCTGTCCATGGCGCCCAGGCGGGGGAGACCCTCAAACCGCTGCCCGGGTTTAATTGGATATGCTGCCACAAAGGAGAGCCACTGTGTAAAGGATATTTATATATCTATGTATGCATACATAACATCCGGCTTGGGAGTAGTTTGTGAACACGATGTTGGAGGGTGAGGGGACGAGGGGTAGCAGGGGATGGTGGGCTCCTTTTGACAGTAAACCAATGTTGTGGAACGCATGTTTTCTGCGTTTTTTTTTTACAGGGATTGTTTGTGTTTTCTTCTTCCGGCAAATCGCCTGGCGGCGGCGGAGTGAGCGTTCATCGCTGCCAGGTCCACGGACGGGGACAGCCCAGTGCCGCCGCCGCGGCACGAGGCGGGCCGCGCAGATGTCTGGGCATGTGCGGTGTTTGTGTCACCAAGTTGTTTGGGTGTATCTATAATGTTATGCGTGTTTGTGTGTGTATGCATAGGTGCCTATGCATATATGTATGTACACACGCGCTACGCTTGCATCATTATAATACACATACACATAATGATACAACTACACACATACGACTGCATGATGCTTTTACTGTCATGTACACAGTACGCAGTATAGTATTGGATGTATACACGATATGATATTCACTAGAGGTACCATGCAAACAAACAGAGGAGGTTCTGAGAACAGTACCGTGAGGATTCCAGCAAAGTTGCTCATGGCAAGTGAGGGACACGCAAAGTTCTGAGTCGTCCTGCATATGTGTAGAGATATACCCTTTGTTAAGATCTGGCACCTGCAAAGACTTCCCTCGATGTTTGAAGCACTGATCATGAAACAAGGAACGGATTTCCAAGATTGCTTTCCCGTTTTGATGACGCAAGATCATTTGCACCGGTGCTGAGTCATTCCAATCCTTTTCCCAGACCTCCACCAATTTCTGCACTGGTTGCTCCGTTGCGCAAGTTTCTTTGAGAGGCTTTGAGAGGCAATTTTGACGAGCCTTAGATGCTTGAACCAAGTTTCAGTGTTGGACTGGCCTGGACATGCTTACACAGTTTGTTCATTGCATTGAAACGAGCAAGTGTATTTGACTAGCTTTCAGGACAGCAAGTAAGTTGAAGATGAATGGTCATCTGGACCTCAAAGAGCAAAGGACCAAATGGGTGGGTCCCAAGCGTTAGCCAGGTATCCAGACAAATCTTTCTTAAGTTGGGCCGATGGTCCTTGTGTCAAACCGAACTGCCAGGATGAAGCTGAGGAGGGGCCGGGAGAAGGGAGGGCTGATAGTCTTTGGCCCTGCTCTGAAACTCATTTGGGTGTGCTTAAAATAGGAATGGACACTCAGCATGGTAGTTTCCCTTCGGTTTTCCTTTAGAACAACAAGACACGCACACACACCTTTTAGCCTTTTTTAGAAGCTGCTTTTTGGATAAAGCTTGAAGTTGTTCCACGGCGTCCAAGACCAATTGAAACTGTTTTGCAGGTTGTCCCAGAGGCTTCATAATTTAAAAAGCACCCAAATGTTTGTTCTCAAGGGGATTTGTTGGCATAGCATTGATTCTGACTGGAACCCATGAAGATTGAAACTTCCACTGTTGCTAGCTTCAGGCGGAGGAACGGAGTGCTGTATTTGTCAAGACCGAGAAGTTAGAATCAGCCTTTACACAACTGGGGATTCGGGCGTTGAACCTTTTGCTATATTTGATGCCCTTGCCTTGCATTTAGGCCGCGGCTGCTGCTACATTGGGGAGTCTTGAGGCTTATGTGCCGTCCACTTGCTGAAAGCGATATTTTCACTTGTCCCTTAGGTCTGAAGCTCTTTATTGGGCTGCTTCTCCAATTCGAGCTCCTAATTGCTCAACAGAATCCCGCGAATCACCTGGTGGCAGGACCACGAGCGTCACGAGCATGAGGAGGAAGAAGCAGATCCACTCGCCTCGGCCCAAGCTACGAATCAGATGCTTCTTCCCAGCCATACCCTTGGACTTTTGGTTGTTCAGGTTGTGAAGAGATGTCATAGTGCTAAAGTTGAACTTTTATCAAACGACAAATGAGCCACTAAAGCTTGTCAAGCAGCTCCGGTTGCTTTTTGGTGTGGCTGGAGCTCTTGGTATCTCTTGCTTACTCCTCAGTGCTTTGAGCTTGGAGCTTCTAACCTTCCGTAAGAGGACCAATTGTTTTCCCACTAGCTTGAGAGGACAACAGTCACAGGGTCGTTGAATGAGTCTGTTGTTCTGTTGATATTTATGTGCGTGTGTGTGTGTGTGCATTTCGTGTGCCTGTCTTTTTTGCATGTTTGCTTGCTTGCTCGAATGGGGCCACTTGCCAAGGGGTCCGCCCAGATGCCGGATTCTTCAAGATCCAAAGTTCAGCCTTGTGGGGATGGGCCGCTTTCAAAGGGATTAGCAATCCAGACCTTCAGTGCCGGCTGCCTTTTTTGGAGTTCGCCAAGAGAAAGTTGATTCAAGTGCCAACACCAAATGAATTGTTTCCCTGGCTGCTGCAAAAAGTACATGCCCCTGGTTGACCTGGTTGTTTCGTAGATCAGGGCTGGCATTTTCCAAAAAGGACGCCTATGGTTTCAACTTCTCTCTCTCTCTCTCTCTTCTTTACCAGGGGTTTGGAGGAGATGAGTCGAGCTTGCGCGCTGAGTTTCGGCATCCATCACGACCGAAGAGGACCGTGCGTTTGACCGGGCATGTTTTCGCGACCTTACAACTTGCTGGTTCATGCTGGCTCTCAGTACGGAATCAAAGGGGGATTTCGGAACGAACCTAGGGATCCCCTTCAAGGAAGCTGCTAAGGATGGTTCAGATCGGGGTAACTCCCTTATTGCATGCATGCCTACGAATTGGAAGAGAAGGGGGGTTGCTATGGGAGGTTGGCACTCTAAAATGAGGGGAAGGCAAACACATCATGAGTCATAACATGAGGCATAACATGAGAGACCTTGCAAATGACAGAACTGTTCCGAGATATTCTGGTGCTCGGTGGTAATTATGTCCATGAACTTATCCAAATGCAAAAACTTAACACGTGATTTGCCCAGTCGCCCATGGGTTGCAGCCCTGTTTTGCTTTCTTGATTGGGTAGAGGTACATATATATATATATATGTATACACATAATATTATGTACATATTGATGGTAATATCGTTATCCCTTTATTGTCACCTCGTTCTGATTGAACGTGAGTGCTGCGCACTTGAATTTCAGGTGTTGCTCGCTGAGCAAGCGAGGTGTTGTATTTCGTGCTTTGGCGGCGATCGATCAATCCGAATTGGATGTATTGATCACACCAGGTGTGTGTAGGGTGACAAAGCCCTCCTGATTTTGGGCTGCACCAAACGCAAAGTCCGCCAAGTTATCCAGCAGCGTCAAGCTGCCCTTTTTGTAGGATGTCGTTTTTTGTTATTATTGTTTTTTTCCAAGTGTTCCCATTCTTTGAGCGAGGGGTCCTTTGGACCCACCAAAAAGGCGGCGACTCCTGTCTTTTCCCATCGCTGTGGAACTAGAAAGGGCCCAGTTCGGGGCCAGCGAGGACTGGGAGAGCAGCGGTTGGGCGAGAGTTGGATGACGATTGAACCGCCCAGCTGTTCAGTGGCACATTTTTTCCCTTCTGACGGCTTCCAAGCGCTTTTTGGACAGTCCTTGAGATCTTGGACGTGGGACAATCAGTTGTTGGGGGTGCTGGAAGCCTTCCCTTTTCCTAACGTCACTGACCAACTGGGACGAGGACGGCGATTCTTCCCTCTCCGCTCTGCTAATCCCAATCGCCGCTCCTGCATCATCATAAACGACTGTTTGAAGCATGGGGAATTCCTTTTGGTTTCCCTTCTAACCAACCCCGCAAAGGACACACATTTTTTCCTACTAAGATGTGCCTTTTTCCTACTAGCCCTCACTTGGGCTTGGGAAGGTCCTCTTCCACCTGATTCCGTTGAAGTGACATCTCGCATACCCTTCAAATGGTTAGGGAACGAACCAGGACCCAAAAGTAATTTCAGCCACTTCAAATGTAACTGGCTCTGGTTTGGGGACGGATCGCACATGAGCCCAAATTATTATGTAGCCATTTTACCACATCAATCAGCAAACAAAAGATTTCCATCCAGCCCGGTAAATCCTTTGAACAACCCAGACCGATGACCCGACCGCCGATTCAAACTGAAATAAGGACGGTTCCGGTGGTGCAGCCGGTGCATGGCGCCTTGTCATTAACGACAACTCTCGCATCTCCCGTGAAAAAATCGGGTGTCGATGTGTTACCAATTGCCGCATAAAGTTCTCATTTTCAAGTTTTCACCCTGGAAATCAGTTAACCAACCCCAGTTTCTGACTTTGAGAATCCCAACGGAACAGTCACCGTGACCCCAGTACTAAGCCATCCAACTTGTGGTTTCTTGCCTAGCATCCCTAGATTCCTTCCCCAAACTCCTAAGACCAACAGGTTTGATATCCCTGGATAAGTGAAGGAGCCCCCAAGACCTCAAGGTTCAACAGGGATTTGCTTCCTTTGCTCTTTTTGGTGCCGGGGGGACCCTTTTCAAGCAGTTTTTCGCCCTTGGCCACCAGGTCTGGGGGTTTTAACTTGGGATACCCAGAGAATCTTCTTCCAAGTAATCAAGTTACAGTAGTCACGGGAAAGACGGAAAGACCCATGTTGGTACCACGGAAAAAGGTATTTTCTACAGCCATGCGTCACACACGCAGCACAGTGTGGGTGGGAGGTGGGGTCCTTGACGTGCCTGTGCAGTTTCTGGCTTTGGTGACATTGCTTTGCCACGGTTCCTCATTGTTTTAGCCTTTCCCAAGGTGAATCAAAAGTGCAACAACATGATCTCAGCATGACTTTTGGCTTTGGCACAAGCTGAGGTAGTATAAGAATGAAGGGGGCCCTTCGGTACCGCGCTGTTATTGATGAAAAAGAGAGAGCAACACCACAAGCCTCTTGCATTGATCTCCGCATTTTCTTGGCTTTGGTGGAAAGGCTCTTGAAAAAGGCTTGCGGAAGTGGGTACCTCTGCGTGTTTTTGTTTTTCAAATCTGTGGCGCGAAGATGGCGGTCTATTCATTATTCATCGCGTAGGAGACATCAAATGCCAGACTATTCCCGTTCGTTCTTCTCATTGTGTGCCTTCACATTTAGATTGAAGGTCGGAGGGCTGCATCTGGCTTTGCATGATCCAAGATAACGCGGTTATTGCGGCCAACAAAATGAGGGTCATGTGTTATTTTGGGTAGTTCACCCCCATGCAAACAACTACGTGGGGCACACTTCTCATATACCCCACCCTTTTCCCTTGAAGCCAGTCTGCTCCGTGAGTCACTGAGCCCATGATTGTTGTTGGTTTCTTGGAGCTTCTTCTGAGGTTCTTTCCCTTTCGCTAACCACTTGGGCTTGACTTTGAACATGGCAAAATTATTGGACCAGCAAATAATCAATCCTGAGAGCAGTGCTGCATGTCTAATCCAGCATATCCCCCCCCCTTAAAGCCCGAAAAGGGCGGGGGACGTCTGAAAATGTAATTTGCATTTTCCCCCCCCCCCTCAAAGAAAAAAAGGTAAGGGGACCCCCCCCAGGTGCGTATATCCGTTTTCTTTTGTTTTGGGGGGGGGGGGGGGTAAAAAGTAACTTGACACCTGGGCACGTCGAAGTGACTTTTTCTTGACCCCCCCACGAAAGTTGACGGACATAGGATTTTCCTGGGAAGCTTAATAGGGCGGGTCGGGAGGGGAGGGAGTCGCAAAATGAAAGCTGATGATGCTGGAGGGGCAGATGTGGCGCATGCGCAGAGGCTTCTGTAATCTTACACTTGGCACGTCTCCCGAAGAAAATGTAATATTACACTTTTAGGTGCCAAACCCCAGCAAATGCAAATTGCATTCAGACGTCCCTCCCCCCCTTAACGGGGATGGGGATACGGATGTATGGACGAACAGACGAACAGATGGATGGATGGATTAATGGATGGAATCATGGATGGATTAATGGATGGATGAATGGATGAATAGACAGACAGCTACAGATATATTGTTTCGCAAAGGCATTTCAGCACTCCAACCTGCGCCCCGCCGAACCCAAACTGCTCTTCGCTTGAGGCCATGGCATGTGGCCATGAGAGGGCCAGTTGCGTGAGGCCGCCCAGGCGAGAGAGAGCAAGCACGTGTGAATATGAGCCTCAGGGAGCCTGTGTGTTGTGCGTGTGTGTTCGTGTTTGTGTGTGTGAGTACTGTTTTCGGGCTGGTTTCAAGGGAAGCCAACAAAAACACAACGATCTTGTTTCTTTGTATATTCTGAGACAACCCAGGATCCCTGGACGGAAAAGCTTACCTGGTACAACGAGCTTACTGTCTCGCACTGTGGGATCCCTGATTCAATTTGTTGACATTCTAGAATTTGCAGATGACTCCTTTTGTGGTGGTGCGAAATGGAAACGGGCCCCTTGGTGGAGATCAGTAGCACTATACATGTTTAGAGTTTATGCAACTGTCCGGTTTTGAGATTTTTTCAAGGAAATTCCTCAATGGTGCTTATGTTCGGAACCACAGCATTGCCCAAGGTGGTCCTTTGGTGGATTCTGTGTGAAAGCCCAGTTTACCAGAGCTGCTGTGACAACTTCAACTTGGTGCTAGATGGCCCATATTGGTCGAATTGTGGCAAAAGGAAAGCAACAGGGGATGGTGTTTGGTTGGTTGTGCAGATTCTATTCAACACCCGTGAACTCAAGAGCTTAACCTTTGCTTTGATTTGCCTGAGATGTGACATGATTCTGCAAAGGAAAGCAGTCGTTTGAACGGAGACCCAAATGTTGCATAGCGTCCAAAGGGTTGAGGTTTCTCTAGGTTCTGAGAACTTGCTGACTGTTCTCCAGTTTAGTTGACTCTTTAGTAGTGCTTCCCATTGACTGGGCAATCTTGCAACCATGCGCTGTTTTGTTGGGCGTGGCGGCATGCCATGTTCGTTAGCGATGGAAGCTTGGGCGGTTGCCTGTCAATCAGGCTTAACTCCGGCATGTTTCAATAGCGTCTCACCCTTGGGTCTTTTTCAGCTGCAGTGCAGTGCAGGTGGGCGGAGTAGTCCCCAGACGTGAAACCCCAAACGAGCAGTTCGAAAAGGGGTGAATTCAAAATGGCGGGGACTTCTGGTGATGCTATTCATGGGCGTTGAGTATAATAGCATAATTCATGTTGGTCCAGGCTCTTTGTGGTGGTAAGCTTTACATACCTGCAGGCTAGTGTGCAAACGCATGTTGGGTGGATGCTTGCCTGCAAATTAATGTGGGGCGTTTCCCGAAAGGAGGTCTCTTAGGTTTAGCCGATGGCCATCTTCAGAGCTTACGGGCTTGCAACAGAAATCCAACGGAAAGCCAACAATTTCAAGAAAAACCGGTTCCCCTCACTGTTTACACAAGCCCACAAGTGGGAGTGCATAGACGGGACTTGTTCAATGGCCAAAATATTGGACCCAGCTAGACACTTCTAAATCCCTCACTTTCACGCCCAAATGTGTTCATAGAATAAGTGGCGAGCGCATCTCTGATGACGCGTTCACCCATAAGATTGGGAACTGTTTGTTCAGGACTGAATGTTCTGCGGGAAGACTCAAAGTCCCCAAAAGGTCGCCTGTGATATCAATTTCCCTTTGGCCCGCTTCCCACTATCCCACACCTATATTCCTTTGGCCACGGACTGAGAAAACAAGACTCAAAATAACCATGTCACTGCTCCCCGATTGAGTGGCATAGCCATACTGAAGCAGCTGTGAGGCGTGTGGACGCTTTTGCCCCTTTGACCAAACGGCCATCGACCCTGTCGGGAATCAGCATTTGAAATCCCAAGCCCGAATTGCGACCCTCCGGCAGAAGATCTTTAAACCTTGACTGGCCTGATCGCGGAGCAACAAGTTTTGGAGCCCATTTTAGGCCTTAAGTGATTAAGCAGTCACAGCGATTCCCATTTCGGTAGCGCAACAGCTCCAAATTTACATGGAACCCTCATGACACCCAAAATGCAACCCAAAACAGATTTTCCTTACGTGGAGATTCGGCAGGCAAGGGCCGCTTGAGTTCACGAAAATGTCACTGGCAGAAAGGGTTAGTGTCAAAGCCATGAGCTCAAACGAATTGAGGTGCCTCAGCCCGCTTTGCACGCACTGCACTGGCTTGGCCTCGCGTGGTACGAACGCCGCGAGCGCAAAATGCAAAGGGGGTAGAATTTGAGACCTGTTGTGCTCCCATTTGTATTTGCTATGTTTTTCCCGTTTTGGTTTAATTTAAAGGGAATCCATCTCAACAAGAGATTCTTTCTCCAGGGGACTTGGCAAATGGAGGCTTTGGATGGTGGCTGAAGCCAAACGGAACCTCACCTTTTTTCGCTGCTCTTGTACTTGTTCATTAGAGAAGATCGGGTTCAAGCTGCAAAAAAAAAGAATGCAAGCAGAAACCATCTGTTTATGGGAATATCCTTTTGGGCAACCCCGAAATCAGGTGTCCAGCGTAAGCTTGGACCCATGTCGATTTGGAGGCATCTGAGAAAAAGACATCTCCAAGGAGGACCCCTTAATGAGTATATGGGTGAGTTTGTTTTTGAGAGTATGCATTCCGCAACAAGACAAACCCATGTCACGTGGTGAGGCCGGGGGCCACTCCCTTTTTGTCATGGATATTCGAATTCAAGGAGGGTCTTGCATTTGTTTCTGTATCACCCCTCAACCTTCCAGACAAGTGGGCTCGGATGCACACGCCGAGGATTGTTTCTGGCAGGGTCTCTTCCGTGGTTCTGGAGATGTGTTGTGCGCATCTCTAGCTGTAACATCCAGTCCCAGACACTCTGTTTGTTTGAGATGGCCCAGAGCCCTAAGACTCTGAACTGCTTTCGGAACAGAATGGCGGGTGAGCAAATGAGGAACTATCCTTGCCAATATTTGAGATTCACGCTGTCAAGGTAGTGCCGCGTTGTTGTTTGGCTTCTTGCAATGGGGCATGAATCAGCCGAAACTATAATTACACCGGCAGTTCACCCACCCCCAACATGATGGTTCGTAAGCGGCTTGCAGCCATTTATGAACATCCGATTCGTGAACTCTTCACATGCTTGACTTAAATGTCCTTCGGTGTCCTTGGAGCAAAACTGCAAGCGAGGGGGAGGGGGGGGCCTTAGGCGCCGCGACGAGCAGTGCTTCGTGGGTTTGCAGTTTCTTTGCGGCATGCATGCGGAAGATATCGGCAAATGGCGGAAAAGCACCGAGAGGCCAAGCATAAGCAGCGCCTAACACGCTTGTTGGTCAATTCAATAAAGGGTTTTAGTTTTTAGCTCTATGGTGGGTATGCTGGTCTGTGTCCTTTGTAGCCATGGTTTTGGGCACGAAACCTGACAGGATGTTGAGCTTTCAGGTTCCGTGCTCTTGGGATGGCAATACTTCGGGTTGCGTAGCCGATGCGTCCATCCCATGTCACATAAGTTGGGGTTGCTCCGAGCCAAGATGACCAAACCTGGGTATTGACTGGATTAGGTGTCCCTATTTAATGGTTTCGATTTCTGATTGGCATTTCTCTGTCTATCCTTGTGCAAGGGATCTTGGATCAACTCTATTACACACTCTTCGCATCAGTGCCCGATGCAGGGCTTACTTTGCGAGCCTTTGACCGATGGATAATTGCTCGACCGAGGCATATTTCTGTTAAGTGCGGATGGGTTTGCCCTAGCAGCAGAAAGCAGATGTTCCCCTGACAACAACGGCAAGAATTTGCATTCGCCAGCATGTTCCGTCACGTGGCTGTGATTTGTGCATTTGCAGCAGAGTTGAAACTGTGACCATATCTTTAAAGAGCTTCCCCGTTGTGCTGGCCGAAAAAGGATACCCACAAAAAAGACGACAATCTGGGAGGGTCGCCCTTTTTGCGACGCGCCCTCATCTCAAATGTTGAATACAGTGCAAGCAAACCTTTCGCGTCGATATGCAGGTCTGCAGTCTGAACCATGGTTTGCATTGATGTGCACAGCCTTTTTGCTTCGGCAAACAGTATAGACCAAAAGGACCGATTTGACTCATGCTGAAATGTTAGTTTCTTCCATTCGGTGTTTGAGCTGTACCTTTCTTCCCACTAATGTAGCAGCTGTGGAGGATTATACCCGAAAGCTCAATGTCCTTTGGAAGGGGCCATTTTCTATCGGCTGCCGTGGCAACATAGGAGGGGGGGTAGCCATTCGCGCAGATCCGTTGTCCTCAAAAGATCGTGACAGCCCAACCGGACATGCCAGGTGGATAGCACGTCCGCAGCCCCAGTCCAACGCATTCGTTCTGTAGGCCAACCCCTGACAGCGTCGGCAGCTGCTCTGGGGCAAATCCGGTCAGCACCCTCACCAAAGCTGGGACCTGCACATGCTTGATTTGGGCGTGTCATTTTTGGGGTGGATTTTGGAGCGAAGCCAAAAGGAGAAGCACAATTCTAGGGGTTCCCATATGTTAAGACGCACCCATTTCATTTTTGACCTTCCATTTGCAATGAACCAATAAGGTGTCCCCGGTTTGGAGACATGGCAACGCGCCCGCCACAATGGTTTGCGACCGGAATCAAGCATGCAGATTCTTTCACAGGGAGTCCGTATGTCTGGCTGGCCTCCCCCCCCAACCCAGTTGCGGGGTTCAAATGGTGATTGGTCAGGCTTAGGGTTCTTAAACCTAGTTCTTCGCAATGACAATTGCGGGGAGATCCCCAAAATGCTTTTCCTTTTCGTTTCCCTGCAAAACTATCTGAAAGGGTGCCAGCTCATGTTTTGGCCCGCTTCCATCATCCACCACCATTCACCCTTAGTGGGTGGCGGCAGGGACCAAACAAGGGGTAACTTGAAAAGGGGAGCCCTCAAGACAGCATGATGCAAGGGGGAAGCAAGTACTAGTAGCTTACCCCTGTCATAATACCCGAATTTGACTTCCCCATTCTCCCTTCCATTGCCCTTTCGAACATGGGACTATTGGAGAGTCTCCTGATTTTTGTACCAAAATTAGAGAGTCCCCAACAACTGTTTTTCTCCCATGTCCACATCCCAAGTGTTGTTCAAAACGCAGTGGTTGGGGGGGGTGCTGGCAATGTTCCTCCCCGAGGAAGCTTAGACTGCT